CTGGGATGCTCACTGAGTTTTCTTATTGTTTTAAATGGCACCTATTATTATATCCTGAGTTTCTTCTTAGGAAATTAAACTTACAGATTCTTTCTGTAATTTTTTTCCTCCTTTCTGTGTTACACTTGCTCTTCTGAAGAAATGGTGAACTCCCATTACTCTTTTGTTCATAAGATGTGACAAAAGATAATTTTAAAAAAATAACATGTCCCCCGCAGAACTGAGTCATTCTTTTTATTTATTATCTGTGAATTGCCATGTTTTCTTGGGAAAGATGACAAAGTGGTTAGTATCTTGAAAGCCTGAAATTTGATCTTTTCCTTTGCTTACACTGGTTGCTTCCCAAGGCTACAGAGCCCAATCTACTTGCAGTTTTAACCCATAGCTGGAAGCAGAATAGACAGATTCATGTCTTTAACAAAGGCAACAAGAGCAGAGAATTTTAACTCAACTTGCTGATACAACATTCTGCACCGGCATCTGTTACATATCTAACACATTGATTTTTAATTATACATGAAAAAAAAAAAAATTATGAATGCTTTCTTGAAATTTTATTAAATAATGAATGATTGGAACAAAAGGCTAGAGAGCACTGTCTACCTTGCTATTTAACCCGTAGAAGGAGGGAGAATAAATAGTTTCATGCTTTTACTGAAGATGTAAATAAAAAGTGAATGCAATGGTCCAGGATAGAATTTGAATTCAATTTGTCGATTCCAGTTTATGAGCCAACATCTTTTAATGGTCAGCTAATCATCTCCAAACACACCTGTCTGCTAGGGAACTAGCCAACCTCTGTTCCATATGCTTTCACAGGCACTTGTGGTTTATACTGCAACTATACTGATGGCCCTTACTTAGAGTTGCTGAGAGAGACCCCATCACCTGACATGATCAAGATGAACAAGGCAGTATGCTCAGACCCTCGGTCATGATGACTTGTGACTTTGTGCTAGTACAACTATTGACAACAGTGGAAGAGTTTAATCTAATGAATTTCACTTGCAAGACTTGGGGTCAACCAGTGGTATGGTTTTTAGACACTTTACAAAGTTGCCACATCTTGGGATAAGATCAAAAAGTCACTTCCTTGGTAAATTGGCTATGGTGAGATTCAAACGCGGCTCTCATGCTTGGAAAGTGAATGTTCTAATGACTTTGTCATACATCCCATTAAATTAACTATTAACACATACTGGACTTATGAAACCTGTTTTCCTACAAAAGTGTTTTAAGAGAAAGATTTTATAAATTTCAACTAAACCGACTGCTCAGTCAATGAATGTCAAATATTTCTTTATAGGGAAACAGCTAATATTACCATTGCCATTCAAAGAAGAATTTACTGATTTAATGTAAATATTAATTGAAAGAACAAGTTTACCAATATAAATGAATTTGGAAAGATAATACTGCATTGCAGGTTGGAAATGGAACTAAAACATGGAAAAGATTTAGTCATTTTTGATGGTACTTCCATCCATACATACTGGAACTCTCCAGAATGTTCCAGAACTTTAAAGGGCCAGAAAATTTGTGTGCTTGTTAACTACATTTCATAGAAACATAGACAAAAAGAAAATGATGTTGAGTACAACATGACACATTTAGCAAATTATATGCCAGAAAATATATTCCAGTTTGATTGATTTGTTTTTTACTGGTTACCAATCCTTTGCAGGTTATTTAAAACCAGAAAATATTTTTAGATTATAAGAATTTTTGGAAGATAATAATGATTGACTGATACAACTCCTACTAATTAACCTATAGCTGGGTGGGGAAGAGGTGTATTCTAAACTTTCCTAGGGATATTTGCATATAAGCAAATATAACACACCTGATTGAAATTGGAACTTAGCTCTCTGATCTCCAATTTATTATCCACTACACCATCAACACATCCAAGCTTACAGCACCTGGTATTCACAAGTGATCATCCATCAAAGTACTGACTAAACTTGATGTTGTTTAACAATGGTGAGAACTGGTGTTTTAATATGATATGTCTGTAAGCCACAAGATAGTCATGTGTTAGTAATATAACATGAAAGATTATAATGCTGTATTATATTGTTTAAAAATTGGATGAATAAGAAGTCAGTGTTAAGCCCAAGACAGGCATGGCAAAAAAATTCCCTAAATGTAAAGATTCTCCTTTAAAAATAAAAATCTCTAAATCAAGAGAAGTAAAACAAAACAAAAAAAAGAACAAAAAGCAAAAAATGAAAAAAAATATACATAATGTTGTATCTAAAAAAATCCTTTCTTTTAATTAATTTAAAAAAAAAATTTAGACTTAGACTGTTTTGGTGAGGAGAGTATATGGTGTGTACATAGTGGAGTAAGCCGTTATCAAAATATATCAGAAGATCAAAAGTAGATTATAAATCTTTTAAAAAAATGAATGTGTCATAAAAATGTGCTATGTCATTAAAATATGATAGATTTTATCAAAGAAAAATCTGTCATATGTCATAGAAATGTTTTTCCAAATATTTTGTTAAAGTCATAAAAGTAATTAAGCCTTAAAGTTTTTGGCATCTATTTGTCTATCTTTGTCTTCTTGAATATTGATTTTTCTAATCTTCAAATTTGATTTTTTTTTATAAGTTTAAATATTCTCACGTATTCTGCTGAAAAAAATAAAAGTAAAACCAAGGTAATTATTTATTTTTCTTTGAATGTTTTTTTTTCTTTTGTATTTAAGTGGATTTGTAACATTTTTATGACAAAATTTAATCTTCATTTTTTTTTTCTCTGGCAGATTTTCTGCCAGTTAAAGAATGAACATGTTTTGACAGCATTAAGTGTCTAAATCTATTCATACAAAAATATTTTTTGAAAAGATCAATATTCTTGTTTTTGTTTTCAGTTAAACTAAAGACTGTCACAATGTTCAGATTAATTTTTAAGTTTTACTGTGTTTTGTTTATAAAAAAAAAACACTGTAGACTTTGTCATGAATTTTGTTCAGATTAACACAATCGTGTGATTTTCTTTGTGAAAATCTAAGGGAGATAAGCAAAGATTTTTTGATTTTTATGAAGTTTCATGGTTCAAATTTTGCTGAAATATATCTTATCTTTATTTACTTGATATTGTAATTTTTTTTAACTCAATGAAATAAATAATATTTAATAATAGAATTGACTGTTAACTTGATTGTTAACTGACTGAAAATATCGTGTGCAAATATGAGTCAAATTTTGAATTCTACTTATAATATACATATGTGCGTGTTTGGGATTTATTATACAGCCCATTATTTTATTAATTTTCATGATAGAAACTTGGTGGTTAAGAATCAGAAAGTATTTTTGGTTTATCTACATAAGATACAAACTAGCATTTTATAAAAAAAACAAAAAACAATACATTTTTTTGCCAGTAGTTTAATTAGTATTAACATAGAAAGTGAAATCAATATGCAGAGTTCAAATTCTGATTGAGTCTATTTCATTCACTTAGAACTAATGCACTTAATCCATCCATTAATCCATTCATTCTGCTTTCAGCTATGTGTTAAATAGCAGGGCAGATTAGGATCTTTAGCCTTAGCAGGGCAACCAGTTTAATAGAAGAAAAACTGAATTCAACATTAACCTGTAGAGGGATAGGATCACACCTACTACTGCTGCAGTACATATGAGGCCGCTACAACCCTAATAATTTACTGGATTCATAATCATTCAATCTTAATTGGGTACCTGATTCTCACACTACAAAGCTCTCAATCTTGCCCTAGACACACCCATTGCCATTTTGACTGCAGTACATGTGATGCCCCTAATAGATTATACTAATTGTGATCATGATTAGGTGTTCAATCCTCATTGGGCACCTCATTCTTATAGTATGATAGTTCAAGTTTCCTAAACATCATTAACCTTGGAGTTCAAAATCAGCATGAAGAGGGATGGGCTCCATCAAGCCGTTTAGCTTTGGACATATCCACTACTGCTCTAGATACAGTACATATGCTGCCCTTTTGACCTTAATAGGCTACAGGACTTGGGATTGTAATCATGAATAAAAACAAGTGCATGCCTATGACTTTCTTTGATGAAGCGATGCCGTTAACTTTTGATGAGCCTTTCATCATTTTTCTGTTACTTTTTGTCACAGCATTCAGATTGTTATTCTACAACTATTAAAGTCTTTTAATGATCTGAGACAATGACAAGCAATAGATCTAATGTGGTGGCACTCTGAGAAGTAACATATACAGGTGCATGACTTATCTGACTAATGTCTATAAGTAAAGTCTGCATATCTTATATCTGAATTTCTCAGCTGAGGAGTTATCATTATTTAGTGTAAGTTAAGGGCCTGTTGGAAAGGATCCAGAAATGCAACATCAGGACAATATTCAGAAATGGCTTGACCATACATTGAAATCTCTGCCAGATCAAGCCTAAGATGACCAAAAACTGCATGTATGTCATCCATTGCAGTTGTGGCAAAGAATACAACAATGAAAGCAGCTGCCCACTTAAAGTAAGGGACATAAAAAACCATAATCAGGTGTGAGAGTGAAATCAGGTATGGCTGATCTTCAACCCCTGTGGAGTGGAGTAAAAATACTAGACTTAGAGGAACACTGGAGAATCAGGAATATGAAGGAATCAACATTATGATGGCATCTTCAGTAGGTCTAATATAGAAATATGGGAGCTATATATGAGAGTCAATGTCCTAAAGGAACATGGCACATAGATTGATTAATTCCTTGTTTCATTTTCTATGGCTTATCAATCCTTTGCGGGTCATTTAAAGCCAGAAAATATTTTTAGATTGTAAGAATTGTTTTTGGAGATAATAATGCTTTAATTATACAAGTCTTACTAATTAACCCATAGCTGGGGGGAGAATAGGTGGATTCATAGCTTTCCTAAGGGTATTTGTGTGTATGGGAATATAATGAAACAAACTGGAATTGCAACTCAGCTCTCTGATTAACAATGTTGAATCATTATTTATTGCACCCTCCAAAGCTTACAGCACCTGGTATTCACAAGTGGTCATCCTTCTAGGTACTGACCAGGCTCAACGTTGCTTAACTTTGGTGACTGTACGAGAACCAATGTTCTAATGCTATATGGTCATATGCCCACGGCACACAGAAGAAGAAGAAGAATCATAATGAAACGCAACAGAAATAAGCTTAAAGTAAAACTAGTCGAACATTAATAAAAATAAATTCCTATTCTAACTGATTATATTTATATGAGAAATAATGTTCTTTTGAATCAATAACTAACAGAGAAACCAGTTTCTCTATTTGTGCAAATAAAATTTATGAACTGCAAAGGTAAGATTATGAAACCAAACACTTTCTGAAAGCCATCTATGCTTCAGGCCACAAATATGTCTCCACTCTCATTTTATGATACTCTTTTAGAAGACATTAAATTTTGTGATTAGTTCAGTAATTTAATAATAATAAACTCATAAATAGAATATTTCTGCTCTGTTTTCAAAGCATGATTAAGGGAAATAAATAATTTTTATTGGCTTGTTTTTATTATGGATTTATTGGCAAAATATTTTATGATGCAGACATCAAGACCACAAATGGATGCCTTGAATACCAAATGGAATGAAACATTTTGTACCTTAAGATAACCTGTCTAGTTGGGTTCCATTTAGCAAGCATCGTTAGAAGTGAAATAATTGCTTATTTTATACTAATATAATAGTCAAGATAATAATAGTCAATTATGAGCCATTAAATAAATTACATTGCAGGTAATTACCTTGACATTTGGTGTGACTTAATTTTAAATATAGTTTATTTAAAAGGTGATTTCACCTGAGCAAGAAAAGGCAAATGATCTCATAGGTAGTTTAACAATATAAAGCTAGTTGTTGTAAATATAAACATAGATAAGGTAGGTTATTTACTGCTTTCCTCTGTCCCTCTTGCCTTCTATATGCCCTGTGAGTTTCAAATACTCTAAGCCTTCTTTCCTCATTATCTTTGCTAGAAATTTCCACTCTCTCTTTCACATGCTGAGTATAAGTATCCATTTTATTTCTATTTTCTTTAAAACTTACTCATTACTTACATGTAAAGTCCCTGATATACCCAGTATCATTTTTACTGCCTCAAGTCTCTTCCACATCTGTGAGGAGATTGTCTAGTATTTATTATCGTACAGAAGGATAGATATTGCATAACAGTTCAGCATTCTTTTCTGTGTTTCTGATGAAATTTCCTTGTTTCTTAATACTTTGCTTAGCTTTTGGAAGGCAACTTTCACTATCCCAATATGCCTTTGAATTTTGGTGGCACATTTTCCATCTTTTGTTAAAATACTTCTCAGAGATTTAAATTTTTGTAATTGTATTGATTTTGGTACCTTCAATTCATAAGTTGCATCATTAGCTGATTCATCTTTCTGATAACCATATATTTTGTCTTCTTATAATTGATGTTTAGTCCTTTATTCACATTAATATATTCTTGAGAATTCTACAGTTTCCATTCATAAAAATATATAAAAGAAAATGTTTATGGCTGAACTGTTCCCATTTATGATGAGTTTATATCAACTAATATGTAAACATTGTGTGTTCTTTTTCTATGCGACATCTCCCTTCAGGAAGTTGGAAATCATGGCTCTCTACAATTTCCTGCTATTTGTAGCTCTTAATAAATTTGTTTTTTTTGTTTTTTTGCTGCTTTTTTGAGAAAAAGAGAGAAATCAGTGGGAGTAGATAGGTTCACCTAACATTTCGTTCACACTCCTCTGAACAGGAGAAGATGTTTAACTCTTGTTTAGGATTTCCACTTCCTTCTAAAGTCTTCAAATTCTCTCTCATTCCCAGTAACCTCTTGCATCTTAGTGGCATTATCGCCTTGCTTGGGGTGAATTGATTAAAAACATGTTTTATTGGTGTGTAGCCAGATTGATTTGAACATTCAGTTTCCAACCAGTCAGGAAGGTGAATTTTTGATGTTATCGGTTATAGGGAGGTGATCCCAACATGCGTCACCTTTGGAAAGTAGAACTAAACCACAAGTTGACCGAAGAATTTTGTGTGAAATTGTATAAATGCAACTGTTTGGAAACCATTGGTTGTTGCACCAGAATGAAATCACAAGTCATCGTGACTGAGGATTTGAGCATATTGACATTGTTCAAACTGCTGATCATGCCAGATTATGCACTCTCTCCTAAAAACTGTAACTACAGTCTGCTCAGTAGGAGTATAAATCACAGGTGAGCTCTGTGAATGCTGAACTAACACTAAATGTATCTGAGCAGGTGTCTGTGAGAAAGAATGGTCTAGCTACCCCATCAGAAAGATGTGTTCAGAAAACAAGAATAACCAGCCATCATATGTGTGTGTGTGCACGCATATATATAATTAGGCAGTAATCCTTCTTTTATACATGTTTCATTAAAGACGACTGACAATGTTCTGCGATTAAGCTTTTTATTTAATTTTTCTTGCGTTCATACAAGTGTTTTCTTTTATGGGCACAAAGTGTATAAAAACTGTTCAAAAGTTCTGCATGTCTAAGTGCTTTCAGCTAAACTTTTAGCCATTATCAAGGATAATTTTAATTTTACTTTTAACTGAATATATGGGTTGTGTTATGTATGTATCTAGAGTTATAGGAATGTTATATTTCCCAAACATGGTCAGCACATTGTGACCATGTTCATAGTCATTGTTATTGAATGTTGGCTTTTTCTTTTTTGTTATTAGGGCTTCCATTATCTTTAATCTTTTTCACATGTGGTTGAGGTTATTATGCTTGTATTTTCTACTAGTATGTTCTGGATGGAGTCTAGTAGGTTTCTGTGTGTGTTTAAACGAGTCCTAATGGAGCTATGGTCAGATAGGTGCAACGTAAGTTGTCTGGATAGGCATGTAGTAGTGTGACTGATGCAATTATTTATGAGTTTGGTTTGATCAGGAACACAGTTCATTAAGGGTCATTTGAACTCGTAATGTTTTTTTTAATTACAAAGAACCAATATCATTTACGAGTTCAAATGCCCCTTAAATGCTCCCCATATATATATATATATTATTCCTCATTGGTAGCACAACTTTCATGCACAATGCAATTTCAGGTGCTGAGTAGAGACTAAACGTTAATATAATTTAAATTTTAATAAAAAAACATCAGGTCACCACAATGCTGGCACAGTCTATATATTATGCGAGGATTGCTGATTTTTGTTTTAAAAAATGTATATGTTGTATTTAAAATAGACAGGGATTAATGATTTTCTTTTATATTTAAATTATGTTTAATATAAAAATATAAATCCTGTCTATTTTAAATGACCATTTTTTAAATTTTTGTTTGTAATAATAATTCTTTTTGTAGTTTTAGGACTGTTTATTTTAATACATATTTTAAAATAAAAAAAAGTACCATTAATACCTGTTTATTTTAAATATAAAATAAAGACATTAATCCTCATTCATTTTAATTACAAAATATAAATCCCATCTACTTTAAATACAATATATATAAGACACCATGCCCGATGAGCTGGGAACACCACCCAGCAAAATTATAATCGCACACCAAAATGTAGGTACACGTATATATACTAATTAATACATATATTTTTTTTTCAATAAAAACCAGTAATCTCTATATAATATATATGGACTGTGCCAGGATTGTGTTAACCAAATATTTTTATTAAAATCTAAAATTCTCTACTCAGCACCTGAAGACTGTGTTCTGCATGAAACCCCATGTCATCCAATTAGTGAGATATATTTATGTATATTGATTAATATATACTTTATAGCTCTGTTGTATTACATTGAGCACTGTTTTATTAACACCAGCACTCAACATACTATATCTTATATGCATTCATATATATATATATATATATATATATATATATATATATATATAGATAGATAGATAGATAGATAGATAGATAGATAGACTTAAACATCTGGAAACAATCAGTGAGTAAGTAAGGCCATTGATGGAACATCACTGCCAATGGTGGAGACAAATTTGAGATTTTGAAAGATAAAATATGGTGCAAGGAAAAGAGAGATAGTTAGAATTGCAGAAATATTTAATTGTGCTTATTTCAGACTGGTCTTATCAGCCATAGCGAGCGCCACGCAAATCGCAACATTGTATCTGATTTCAATGTTTAGCAAGGTTTGACATGCAATATTTTTGGCAAAGTTTGTAAATCATCAAGTAGACTCACACACCATTTATATATATATATATATATATATATATATATATATATATATATATAGCAGTAGAGCCCGGCATTGCCTGGGGATGTAACAGTAAGAGATAGATCAAGTATCGACCATCATAAAGACTAAAATTGACAAAGATTATTGTTTAAGGTTGATGGACACGCATGTCTTAATTAGTTCTTTTTTTTTTTTTTAAGAATTGACCAAACCCAAACTCAAACAAAAACATTGTTTTCAATCGTTATGAGTCTACCGATTGAATAGAATTTTATTATAAACAATTGTCTTGTAAATGGAATTTTTAAAGCATTCTGAATGTAAAAATAAAGAAAGTGTGCAAGGCAATAAGAAACACTACCTACCAAAAAAAAAAAGTGAAGTTTTGTTGAAATCGGTTGAAAAATGTAGGAAATCCGATCCCATATATAAAGGAACACACACACACACATACACAAACAACCTGGGTTTTATAATAAGTATAACTCGATATAAGTTGTCCCCCTTTCATTCTCGCGATGCCTCTTAATCATGTTTTCAAAGTGATTTTGTGCAAAAACAATTGTGTTTTTCCAATTTTTGGCGCTGTCAGAACCAGCGCAAAGTAATTTTACATAGTCCAGTGAAGTTTTGTTGAAATCGGTTGAAAAATGTAGGTAATCCGATCCAATATATAAACGTACAGACACACACACACACACACACACACACAACCTGGGTTTTATAATAAGTATGACATATATATATATATATATATATATATATATATATCGTCATCCAAAGACAGACTGTTTCACTGTATCACAGATCCTCAGTGTCGCTAGATGTCTGATTGCTTCAGGCTGGGATCGAACCCCGACTGATTTGACCTCAGTCAGATATCTCACCCCTAGGC